ATTAGTATATCACGGTGAACGTTCTAGATAAAACACGGTAGCTTTTATATTATCATACGTCATTATACAAGCGGGATGGTCCAAGTTAAATAAAAAGTAGTCACTAATGGTTGTCGACTTACATTCTTTGAATCCTGCAACAAAACCACGTTTCTTTTTTATTGCTGCAGGAGGTGCTTGAATAGAAGGGAAGTTTAAATAAGAACGAACACGTGATTGACGTAGAATTAATGACTGAAGAAGAGAAACCATGTTGCTAACACTCCAATACCATACCAAAGCCTGTTAGAATAGAAATTATAATATATTTTTCAAAACAAAATGATGGAGCTAAGAGATATTTTCTGTAATTTCTGTTTGCATCGGATGTCCGAGTAGGCAATAACGCCTACAAACGTCTTAAAATCGCATTGGTTGTACTGATTTTCCAGCACTTTCTTCAATTTGGAGTTTCATTTACGTTATTTGAAACGATTACTGTTCTGAATTTTTCGGTTTTATAATTCTGCAAATCAATGCAGTTAGATCCAGGTATCCGTTTATTCATTTTAATTTTATACAATCTCCGTATCTTTGCAAGCAATTACCCAACTAGTCGGAAATCAGTTTGCTGTCAAGAAGACAACTTATGCGAATCGTTATTGATGCATACAGAATCAATTTCATACGGTAATAATGTTGGAGAATTCTATTTATGGGGATGACTAAATAGCCATTGCCAGATCTGTTACTTTTATATGACCCCAAAACCAAGTTTGTATTCCTGTATACATAGAGTTGCGTCTGATACATAAGTGTTAACGGTTGACTGGATCAAAGATGGTAGGGGAGGGAAAACGTTGGATCCAAGAGAGATCAATTGACGGCTAAGAGTTTCTAAATTGAGTCAATACACGCACGGCTTAAGCATCACGTTTGATGACACGAAGATACTAATCTGATCCTAACTTATGTTTTTAGTGCCTATCACTTGAAATGAGTGCGCAACGAATTACTGAGTCAAACAACTGTGCATTTATTGAAAAAAACAGGTTTTTTTTACAACTTCTACTGGTATTTTGTCAATAAATAACCGACCGTTAATAGAAGCAGTTTCAAATAAACCAGTCGATGGATATAAGACAGCTAATTATACTTGGAAAACAAGTAAAGTCGGTATATATATAGTTAAGAGGTGGTGATAAACTTGTCATATAACAGGGCCGAAATGTAGACATTCGCGTACAACTTACCGTACATTAGAAATGAGAAATTTCACATACCATTTTAAATTTTTATACAAAAAATGTATTCAGATGACAAAGCTTTCAATCATCATCCTTTGGAAAATACGAAGATAACTTGAGAATTACTAGATATCATTCTGCATATACATTTTGGCATAAGGTTGACATAGAGAGCAATGGCTGAATCAAATGGAATCCAATTGATATGAAATCGATACTTTCGAATCGTTTGTGAAGGGCACTCACACCTTAAGAGGGATTATAGATGCCTATTTATATAACATGGTAAACTTGTTCACGCAACAAGTCGTTGAATAATTATTGCTAAATAAAACTCAGTTTAATTTATACAAGTCCGAGTTAATCTAACAATAAATAAATCATGTGAACAGTGTATTCATAAATCGTTTCGATCTGTTTTAGAAATCAAATAAATACTTATCACAAGCTTTTGGCTTTAGCACAGTGCAGCTTTTATCTTGTATTGAAGTTGTCGTGTCGATTTAGTCGGGGGCCGATAGAAGTGGCTAGGAAATCGGATCGACAGTTCAGTCAGCAGGCCTATCAGAAGTAAGAAGTTCCAAAAAATGGTTTTAACAGTAAGCTAAACATTATCACAATATACAGCGTTTAACTTTAAAGCTTAGGACAGTTAAACAAAAAGAGGTCTGAAGGAAATGTCTTACCGACGGCATGTTCATTACAAAGACGAAACCAATAGCGGGGAGCACTCTCAAGAAAGCCTGGATTGTTTGTGTCTGTTGCGAACTCATTCCAGCACTGGTCTAAACAAATAAACACAAATTAAATATTTAATGTACAGATAAAGAAGAGCTAAACGTTTTTTACCTTTTGTTCTCCATGAATACTTAATCTCCAAAACAGATAATTTTTAAGTCTGTCGTGAAAATAAACACGTAATTTGCCCATAAAGTCAGTCTACCGTCTTATTATTTAGCAAGTTACGGATCAGAAATATATAGTCAGCAATCTGGATAAATAATACGGTTACATGGTTACTAATCTGTAAAGTGATTTTATTCAAAACCATTCTGACTTACTGTAGTTAATAGGGATTAATTTTTGATCCATTTAGTCTACTGAGTTTCGCCATTGGATGTTATCAATTTGGTTTTCGTAAGGTGTCAACAATTCACCTTTATCACTTTGATTGATAAATAATCAACCCTTAATTGTCAACTACAACCAAAAAGCTTATCAAGCGTTTATTGAATAAGTTAATACTTCTCCACGAAGGTAGAAAGTCATGAGTTAAGAGTGAAAATTGGACTTTGCTAATCAGATGTTTTGATCAGTGGCTTCCCGAAAGTTTATCCTAATGACAACAAGCAGTCGTGTGGAGTCGATTCATTTTTCTCAGTTCAATGACATTCAAGTATGCAAGAGAGAAATTATATATTTGATCAATTCACTTACTCTACTTGTCGACCACAAAAACAGCTTCATGAAGAATAAATACGACGATTTCATAGACTGCTTTCTATTTAACTTTTTAATTTTGATAACTCAGAGGTATGTTGATCATACTATGTTTATAGAGATTTGACTTAATTCTATGAAACGTATACTATAGCATAGTGGTAAGATATTGGTATTTTCAATACAGCTGGCTATAATATACGATGACTGTTCAGTAACTTGAATTCTTCGAATTCATATGTCCAAAATAAACAAACTCATGTCAAATAAACCGAAGAACTTTGTTAAAACATATAAGGCTTGAAACGAATCAAATTGGTTAACATGACAACGAACAATCCATATGAAAAAATATTTATTTAGTTAATAATACACAATGATATGAAGATAAATGAATATATTTATTTATAATCATTGAGCCTGATATTATTTTAGAAATTCTAAGCAAATGAACAGCACATGCATTCAGCAAAATCAACTCCTGACCGGGCATTCTTAAATACTAAGTTTTATCAAGCAGAGGTTGCTCCTTTACACAGATATTCTGAGGCATTTCAGTAGTATTTTCAGAAAGTGTATCAGTGACATAAAATTGCAATTTTTCTGGAAGAATTATCTTACTCTCGCCAATCGGCAAAGTGACAACAGCCAGCATCAATAGCCAGTTTATTACGATTAGTCAAATTGCAGAAAAACGTAGATCAACGGAATTTCTGTCCGCTGTTTGGTATGTGTGCAGGGAGATAGTGATGACACCCAGCGACCGAAGTTAAAATCGACAGAGCTTTGTCCATAACTGAAAATGAGTACGGAAGTGAAGTACTTAAAAATTAGGTCACTAAACCATATCACACTTCAACTTATGTCCATAAATATGTACACGCAATTACAACACTGGTTAGAGTTGCAATCTTCAGACTCTTATCACCTTTGATATCTCTCTTCATTCCTAATTGGCTGTTAATGGTATCAGTAACGTCAAAAAACGAATATTTACAAAGGTGAAAAATGATACTTTTACCTCAAGTGTCAATAGAAGTGTACTCATGGAGAGAATCGGTAGGATGTAATAGGGATCGGACGCTGTTAAATCAGTAAACCAAGCAGTACCACCTGTCTGTAAGCTAGTTACTGGTAGGTTCACTAAACCCCGGATTCCTGTGAAAACAGAAAGGAAGACTGGGACCTAGAAGAGCAAAAGATAAGACATCCTTCAAGAAAACTATATACAATCGACAAAATATGATTAAATTACACTGAAATCAATTCTTAATCAAATCAATTTCACTGCACACTGTAGATGCTAGTCAATAACACGAGTATATGCACAACAAAAAGTATGTAGTTATCACAAATTTATGTAATCATACTAAGCCAGCTATTCGCTTTATAGGTAAATGAGAACATCAAATTATCAGAGGTAAGAAAGAATGATGCAATCAAAAACAGTGAATTATTATTAATCATTGTGTCAAAAAATTTTGATCAAACAAATTACGTAGGATCAACGGATACTCCAAATTATATGTAAACGATTGAAAACTAACATTAATGAAAACAGTGATATCCCACCTTACTTCAAACACAACATCAGTCCACATATGGAGGATGATCACTGAGCGGCGACCAATGTCATGCTCATATAACTTTTTAGTACTGATTAAATGTCATCGACCAAGATATAATGTGGGCAATAGTTCTAATAACGTGATATCTCATACATTGCGTTAATATGTTAGGTGACCAGAGTTATTTTACAGACAACCCTGGACATTTGTCTCATACCGGTTTTCACTGCACGACAAGGTGCACTTGCAATCTTGATGGGATTGCTATTCCCCATAGGGTTCGACCAAACGTCACATGGTGACCTGAATAGCTTACCGGTAACATTTCAGACTGTGAAGCTGACAGAAGCAGGTTCACATCCAACAGAGCTTCAGTTCCCCCAAGACTTCAGGTGGACCCGTTGGTCGATATCAACCAGCACGAAACTCAGATTTAGCGTTTACTGCCGACTGTCCACCTAACACTATGTCACAATCCTCGGATGGCATTACATCAGCAGTTATTTCGCAAAAACATCCGAATTACTAGGTTTTCTTAAGTGCGTTATGTAAACTACAACGAAATAAGATATTGAGAGCCTCGAAAAATTAAAATTATTTTGCTAAATATGGACAATTCTTTCTGTTCATTTTATAAGCTAAACAAGAAAAATTCTCGAATAATTAACTCTGTAGGTACCTTCAGATGAAAACATTGGAAACTTACTAAAGAAGGTCAATAAAACAGCAGTAAAAGTTCACGTATGTACCTAAATATGTGTGTTTTTCATCTTTTATTGTAATAGCAGGCCTAAAATTGAAAAACTGGGTTGGCAACAGCTAATGAGGTTCAATGGAGGAATTTCAAATAAGAATATGATTAAACACCTACAAAACGGTAATATATGTGCTTGAGTACATGATCTTACATAAACTTTCGTGTCTTAATTATTCTTACTGTAATTTGATATCTTAAGCATACCTCTCAGTAAACACTCGATATTGATAGATAGTTTTTACTGAATACTAATTGAAGTCGCGCAAGCCTCAAAATTGAGGTGACCTCGTTGAACTCCCACCATTAAAAGGAAACATCCCAGTTTCCGACACTGGATTAGGACAATAAGCATTCACGAAGATACAAACTTCTCCATCCATTGGTAAACAGTCTAAGTAACAATTCAGACAAACGAAATGATTCCAGGTCGGAACCACTTTGCAGTTTGCCTAGCTATCTCGATCAATTACTCTGTTCCTAGTTGCTGTGCACACACATCAATTCACTCACAAATACAGGACGTGTGAAAGAATTACTGGATCCACGAGAGGTTGCTTATTAGGGCACTCAAAGGTTACGTTGCAATTTTGGGTGTCCTTCAGGTTTCATTCTTGCGTAGTATATATTCGTTCAATTTTATTATTCGTGTTTTCCTCTTCCAAAACGTATGTCTCGCGTATTTTTCTATTAAATTTATCTCTTACTCTCTTGAATTTATCAAGTAACATGTTCAGTAACAGCTCGGATACCAGTTCTTACACTGTAACAACTAGAAAAACTGGTAGAGGTATGAACTACACAGGAGATGCAGACAAGGCTAACGCAACTCTTCACTTTATGCGAAGACAACTTGGTGCAATCACCCCAGAATAATTCTCACCATTATTTAAAACATGCGCACACCCACACCTTGAGATCCACGACGTCGTCTCACGCTTTCTCCTTGAAAGAGACATGAATCGTCAGGACCGAGTACAAAGACGAGCAACCAAATGGGTGATAGAGTTGAAGAATGAACCTTGTAAAAATAGACTCCAGCGCTTGTGACCACTCTTTCTGAGTTACGGGACAATCAGAGGTGATCTGATAATGGCATACAACCTATTAAGAAAGCCAAATCATCTCAACATGAAGATCTTGCCAAAATATCACCAACAAACCAATCGTCGAAAAATTGTATTTCAAAGAGCAAACACTCGGGTTAGTGTTCACTTCTTTTCAGTAAGAATTGCAACAACTTGGAACGTTCTCGCAGCTGAGATGACCACAGCCTTCTCAGTGGATGGATTCGAGAACAGACTCGTTAAACACGTACTCACATTGATCCGATTGTAGATGTTCTCCAGCTCATTCCTTTTGATAATAACGAATGTGTCGTCTACATAGCGAACCCATATTTTTGGCTTGATCATTGGCAAAATCGACGGTTCCAGTCTCTGCATTACAGCTTCGGCGATGAGTCCTGATATTGGTGATCCCATTGGTGTTCTTTTTATTTGTTCGTAGACTGTTGTTGAATTGAAGATACGTCGTTAAGCATAAGTCCATGAGTTCAAGCAGACTTTGACTCTGAAGCTTTGTATATTTGTGTAGATTTGTGTCGTTGATGAGGAGCAGAGAAAGTTTCTTCAGCTAAGCTTGAACTCATCGACCTATGCTTAACAACGTATCTTCAATTCAACAACAGTCTACGAACAAATAAAAAGAACACCAATGGGATCACCAATATCAGGACTCATCGCCGAAGCTGTAATGCAGAGACTGGAACCGTCGATTTTGCCAATGATCAAGCCAAAAATATGGGTTCGCTATGTAGACGACACATTCGTTATTATCAAAAGGAATGAGCTGGAGAACATCTAAAATCGGATCAACAACGTCTTCGATGACATCAAATTCACGATGGAAAAGGAATCGAACAACAGCCTATCATTCCTGGATGTTCTAATCACCAGAACTAACACGGGAAAACTAGAAACTCAAGTATTTCGGAAGCCAACCCACACAGACGTAATTCTCAACTACGACAGCAACAACCCAAGAACCCACAAAATCAACTGCATACAAACTTTGTTCAAGAGAGCGAAGGCACACTGCAGCACATACGATGCATTAAAAAACGAGGAAAAACACCTGATGACTATATTCCAAAAGAACGGCTATCCATCATCAGGAGCAAAATCAAGCACAGGAACAAATAAATGCAACATCTTGCCATACATCAAAGACATATCGGAGCATAAAGCAAGACTACTCATTTGGAATAGGTGTGGCACACAAACCAACAGAATCACTTAAATCAATCCTATGTAGACCAAAGGACAAAATGACAAAGGAAGAAAAACCAAATATCATCTACAAAATGAATTGCTCAAACTGTGAAAAACACTACATAGGACAAAGTGGAAGACCTCTTCAGCTCCGTTTACGTGAACATCAATTAGCAGTCAAACGCCACAACAACACCTCGCTTATATCAATACACACCGACAATTAGGGACATACATTTGATTGGAACAATGTGGAAATACTGGGTAGGGGGAGAACAAAGAACACTTGAGAATATTTAGAAGCTTGACACTCAGGTCAATCAGCATTCAACAAACACATCGACTTTGAGCCAATTTATCAACCACTCAGGCAAATCATAGGTGACACAAGATCAAGAAACAGATCAAAAGGGGGATGCAATCAAAATAAAGTTGCAAACAACGACAAGTCCAAGGCCAACAGCAACCAATCAAGATTGAGGTTAGCAGAACAAGTTACAGGTTAAACGTGGAGAAATTCGGATGCTTCACTTCTATCTGAAGTTTGTGCTGATGATGTAGTTCAGAAGAAAGCTGCAAACCCAAAACCAGCTAAGAAAACGAAACACCACCACAATCATCCACCTGAGCTACAAGTTTTCTCCACCACATCTAACATAGTGTCTTTGCGTGGGCGAAGACTACATTGGAATAACACATTACGAGATCATCTTGTACACCACGGTTGAGTTTGTTCTAGGCCCTTAAGTATTATGACCCTTACATCACCTAAAACGGTATCTACTACACACATAAACTCAAACAGAAATCTACCCTCTTATTGGTAGAAGAAATTTAGAAACAGATTTTATGTAATTCCTCTGGTATCGTTAGAGTGTAACGTGCATAAAGCAGGAGATAAGTGGATATCAACGTTAAGGTATCATACTGAGCATAACTTGCTTTAAATTAGTAGGCCACTTTAAAGTTTCAGTACAATACTGCAAATGAAAGAATATAATCTCATAAGTGAACACGAAGAAGTTTCCGGGGAAATAAGTTTCCTATCGAGCTAGTTTATGTAGGTTGCCGTTTCTGCTTACCTTCCACCTCGAAACTGATGTTACGTAGTTGTTTGGCATATCTTCGTACACTTCAGCTCTGTGGGAAGAGTCAATAAAACCACTTGACTTAGAAGTCTGACACTCGATCATGTATGATTCATAAACAAAGTAAGACTTCCTGTCCCTTCCTACTAGGAAAATCCTACGTAACGCATCAGAAGGCTATCAAATTGAATGACTGTTTCAAGAAAAGTAACATATTTTGTCCATACCCCATTTAAATTTATTACAAATCATCTTCATATCAAGCGTTCAAACATAGACTGTTGGCATGTCTAGTACGATCTTGATCAAATGATAATGGTAAAGATGCGAGAATGATTATGCACATTCACTGCACTGATTGACGGATCCATAAAACCGAACAACGTACTCAGCTGTAGACACTAATTACACTAGGTCCTTTAATAAAATAAAACTGCTTATATACATTAGTTAGGTAGTTAATCAGTTTTGACTATCGAGTGTCTTAGTTATGAAAGAGATTAAATTTACAATAATTGGAAAAACTCACTTGAAGAAGGCTGTATTTAAAGGTCTTGAGTGGATTCAGATCATTGCTCTTCATGAGCTCGTTCATCTCCTGAGAAGTACGCATCACTGCAAATCGCAAAAACAGTCGTACATTGTCGCACTATACAGCACAGAATAACAATAAGTAATGTCAACTGCAAATCAGACAAGAAGTAGTGAAAGTGGAGGTGTTTACAATAATTTTTTCCCAGTTAAGATTACCTTGTTCATTTGACAAAAGTATGGTCGTCTCGTGGGTTTTACTCACATAGGTTTTACTTTTCGAAATCAATATGAAATAACACACTATTAGAAAGTCTTTCATATTTTTGCTATTAATTAAATCGGCCAGTCAGTCAGTCACAACGAAGAAATCCGTAAGTGGATAAATCAGTTCATGTCGCCACACTACATTAGCACAGATATGTAATTGCAAATTCAAATACCATAGTAGTAGAGGTAGCAGAAGTGAGCAGTAATCCGAGAGATAAGAGTTCGATGATATTATTCAAGAAGTAGAATATAGTGAAATAAGCTTAACGAGAAAAAGATAAAGGTGATGAGGAATACAGAAGGTTAGGATTTGAGAGAACACAAAGTATGAATACAACTGCGCCATTGAGAACTGTTTTGAGCCATGTCACTCAAAGTCTCTAACCATCAATTACTATGATCATCAAGCCCCAACCAGGTAGTCGACACCTACCGACATGACTCAGTGCACTTGTCAGTGATTTAGCTCAACGAGGCAGTCGGTTGTTAGGCATACGCAACAAATGTCTAAACCACCTCAACTGATGAAGTTTCATTACTTCGTCTATTGATCTGTCACTCTTACATAGCACCTGTTTCCTAATAACAGCACTGCTTACTCGGTTGTCCCACGATACACGAGCAACGCTTCGGAGATACCTATAATCGAATATCTTCTACTTTGACTGGCCATGTTTCACACCTACAAAGTAGGACGGCGCGAACTACCGCGTAGTAAACTCGTCCCTTGGTTAGCAAACGGATGTCACGACTACGCCATAATTAACGCAAGTGGGCAAAAGCCTACTGTATTCATGATGAGCTTTAATCACACAGCAGGCCATCAGTAGTGATGAGACACTCAAGATAAGTGAAGCAGTCGACAGGCTCCACTACTTCACTCCCTATCACTAGTTCAGGTGCCGATGCAAGCCAATGCTGATGCAACATTTAGCATTTCAATAGAGAGAATCAAATCCCGAGCATGTTTGTACACACAAATCCAATTATTTGTGGAGCGTGTAAATTTCGGTAACTTTTGTGTTAATATTTGTGTATTAATCAACATATCATAAAATAGTAGATATTTACATCTACTTTAAATGAACTTCAGATCTAAAGACGTTTAAAAATAAACATTAGATTTTGAGTGGGCCGTTCTGACGTTAAAGTCCCTGTTATGACATAATCAGTTGACTGAAAACAAAAAAATGCGATGTCAAAATGATAGTATCGAAACCTGCCTTCAATATAGTTTCCAGAGAGTCTAGCACGCGTCAAACGTTCTTGTAAGATGGTGAATTGAGGAATAACATTTGTATAGTTGGCCATTTGACGCCGTTGACGGATCATGATGGGAAACACACATAAACGAATAATAATAGTTGCTGAAAAAGAGGTAAAACAGGGTAACACTTACACTTATCATCATTAAAATTCAAATCGACTTACAATTTATGTAAAGACATTTGTAGTAACCCCGAAGTGTGGAAAGTAGTCCCATCTAAATCGAATACATGTTGAACAAAATACATTACTATTGCAACTGAGGTATTTGTTAGAGCAACAAAATCAATATTGATCTTCTTCCTTGGTGCCGAAAAAAAGATAGTGGATACGTTAGTTTCCTCCAAATCTATGAATACCAAGTAGCTGGCACTTCTTACATCACGTTTAGTAAATTTCACAAATAGGGAATTAAGAGGCATCGTTGGCATGGCTTTACGTTTGTCACTAGAAGCAAACTCTGAGATAATATTCACATACTAGTATGTATAAAATATTCTTATTTTGGATAATGCAATTTTTTCACAATTAGTTGACTTACGTTAATCCAAGAAAACACTTAAGAACACACCTCTCACTCAAGAAATAAAAACTACAAAATACAACTTACAAGCTGCAATAGCGCCCCACCAGGGTAATTCTAGGTGCACGTGTAAAGTCTCCAATAAGCTTTGATACCACCCGGAAGGCCAATAGCTATTTAAACCCAGAGAAGCTAGAGTTGGTTCACCTAAAGCATTGTAAACGACTTCATTATTAGGTGGTAAGGGAGGCTCAGGAAGGGTGTAAGTAGGAGCTGAGAGGTATATGTTAGTAGAAAATTTTCTGATCAGCGGAGGAACAAAACTGGTCTTCTGAATAAAAACCGTTTTAGGGATGACTTTGATCATTGTATTTAGCCGCATCATATCTTTGTGATTAGTGAGTATGGTCAACAAAAGACTACTGATCTGTAAAACACTACCATTAAATAATAACCAGCAGGTGTAACCTAGTGCCAAGAAAGAGAAAAAAATATTCCATCAATTTCCCTGATAATACTAGGTTAATGAGGAATGGAAAATCAAAATAATAAATTTTTAAAACAAAGACTTTGAATTTCTCCAGGAATATTCAAGAATAACCTCCTCATCAAAACCAATGTAGTGTACGATTCACGAACCTACACCTCGAAAACAATTGACAGCGATCAAAATGGCTTTCAGTTTTGAGGTAAAAGTAAGCGCAAGGGAAATTTTGTCAGTGATTCGTGTTGATTTCGAAAAGTAAAACCTATGTGAGTAAAACCCACGAGACGACCATACTTTTGTCAAATGAACAAGGTAATCTTAACTGGGAAAAAATTATTGTAAACACCTCCACTTTCACTACTTCTTGTCTGATTTGCAGTTGACATTACTTATTGTTATTCTGTGCTGTATAGTGCGACAATGTACGACTGTTTTTGCGATTTGCAGTGATGCGTACTTCTCAGGAGATGAACGAGCTCATGAAGAGCAATGATCTGAATCCACTCAAGACCTTTAAATACAGCCTTCTTCAAGTGAGTTTTTCCAATTATTGTAAATTTAATCTCTTTCATAACTAAGACACTCGATAGTCAAAACTGATTAACTACCTAACTAATGTATATAAGCAGTTTTATTTTATTAAAGGACCTAGTGTAATTAGTGTCTACAGCCGAGTACGTATGATTGTTGTTCGGTTTTATGGATCCGTCAATCAGTGCAGTGAATGTGCATAATCATTCTCGCATCTTTACCATTATCATTTGATCAAGATCGTACTAGACATGCCAACAGTCTATGTTTGAACGCTTGATATGAAGATGATTTGTAATAAATTTAAATGGGGTATGGACAAAATATGTTACTTTTCTTGAAACAGTCATTCAATTTGATAGCCTTCTGATGCGTTACGTAGGATTTTCCTAGTAGGAAGGGACAGGAAGTCTTACTTTGTTTATGAATCATACATGATCGAGTGTCAGACTTCTAAGTCAAGTGGTTTTATTGACTCTTCCCACAGAGCTGAAGTGTACGAAGATATGCCAAACAACTACGTAACATCAGTTTCGAGGTGGAAGGTAAGCAGAAACGGCAACCTACATAAACTAGCTCGATAGGAAACTTATTTCCCCGGAAACTTCTTCGTGTTCACTTATGAGATTATATTCTTTCATTTGCAGTATTGTACTGAAACTTTAAAGTGGCCTACTAATTTAAAGCAAGTTATGCTCAGTATGATACCTTAACGTTGATATCCACTTATCTCCTGCTTTATGCACGTTACACTCTAACGATACCAGAGGAATTACATAAAATCTGTTTCTAAATTTCTTCTACCAATAAGAGGGTAGATTTCTGTTTGAGTTTATGTGTGTAGTAGATACCGTTTTAGGTGATGTAAGGGTCATAATACTTAAGGGCCTAGAAAAAACTCAACCATGGGGTACAAGATGATGATCATTAACGGAAGAAAACACCAGTTTTGTAGTCTTGTATATCACTGGCTTATGCCAGCTATTGCACAGATGAGATCTGTTTTTGTAATTGTAGAGATTTTATTCCCTGGATGGTTTTTCACAATTAAAATAAAGTTTCTGGTAGCTGATAAAATGATTCAATCGTAAGCACTTGATTATTTGTTTTAGAAGCTTTTCTTGCCTTTTATGGAACTACTAATCGGCAATATTAAGGTTAAGCAAAGAGTAGTAGGCAAGTTGGATGGTGAAATCATCAAAATTCAGTATCTGAAGATCTCGTAATGTGTTATTCCAATGTAGTCTTCGCCCACACAAAGGCACTATGTTAGACAGTTTAGCATTGGATCAAAAAAGGTCAGGGTACCCAGAGCGAGTCTTATCATCGGTACATGACGCTAAGCACTGTCTATCCAGGTCGTGCCTCCGGATCGATATCCGCGAGGTAATTGCGATCAACTGTTGGAGACCTCAGACGGTGCTTCAATTACGACACATACTTGCAAAAATAAGAGGTAAACACATAGGTTGGTGTGAAGAGGAAAATCGGTAATTAATTTCATATAGAAGTAGGGAAAATAATGGAAACATTCTTATTGTTGCAGTTTATATTGATCTTTTGTCCTTCTTGTTGGTTTCTCTTTGTCATTTTAATCGCTATTTGCTTCTGTAGCTAAAAATCCGAAAATAGTCTAACTCAACCTTTTGCTTTGAGACGTGATAGCTTCGTTATGAGTTCTAAACACGAAACACTAAGAGCATAGTTAAGATTTACATCACACTAACGAATGCGATGTATATGGATTTAGTCTATGTAATCCATACTTTGCACGTCCGTTTATCTAACGTGAGGTTTAAGTTTATCTTTATTAATACTAAGCGAAACATAAATAGTCAAACATATGCAAGGACTGTTCACTCAAAGATCATTAAGGATATTTGAGGCTTTCTCGAGATCAAAATATTCATAAGTTAATGAAAGAGACAGACGGTACCAAGTCCCCACGTGTCCTTGACTTCAAAATATCTACCTGTTTCTATACCCAATATCCGTTTTACTCGGTAGTAAAGACGATAGCATTCTTTGCTCTCGCTCTTTCTTTTTGTAAGAATCCAGGTATTTTCTGTTATCCGGTGGATGATGGTCTAGCTACCTGAATGCGCTAATACTAGTGAGTTGTCACTTAATAATGAATTTATTTGTCCAGTGATTTCAATTAGTGATTTTGTTATCGGAGGGTATGCGTTCTGGATATTAGCAGCTGTCGCATTAACAGGCTGGAGATCAGTTGTTTGCAATATGGAGAATAATAAGGAGGAAAGTCGAATGCTAATAAAGAGATTTCAGAACTAAGTTGATAAATGTATAACTAAGTTAATTGTTTGATAGTGAAGATAATGCGGGAGGACAGAAATGTACGAAAGAGAGACAAAACAGATATATTTAGTGGGATAGAATAAGTTAATGATCTGAGGAAATGGCAATAATAACATTTAGCAAGTTTTGAGACATGCATCAGGCACAGCTGTTCCAAGACGGAGATAATAAACCGAATCTGGGTACGTGTTTAACAAGTCTGTTCTCGAATCCATCCACTGAGAAGGCTGTGGTCATCTCAGCTGCGAGAACGTTCCAAGTTGTTGCAATTCTTACTGAAAAGAAGTGAACACTAACCCGAGTGTTTGCTCTTTGAAATACAATTTTTCGACGATTGGTTTGTTGGTGATATTTTGGCAAGATCTTCATGTTGAGATGATTTGGCTTTCTTAATAGGTTGTATGCCATTATCAGATCACCTCTGATTGTCCCGTAACTCAGAAAGAGTGGTCACAAGCGCTGGAGTCTATTTTTACAAGGTTCATTCTTCAACTCTATCACCCATTTGGTTGCTCGTCTTTGTACTCGGTCCTGACGATTCATGTCTCTTTCAAGGAGAAAGCGTGAGACGACGTCGTGGATCTCAAGGTGTGGGTGTGCGCATGTTTTAAATAATGGTGAGAATTATTCTGGGGTGATTGCACCAAGTTGTCTTCGCATAAAGTGAAGAGTTGCGTTAGCCTTGTCTGCATCTCCTGTGTAGTTCATACCTCTACTAGTTTTTCTAGTTGTTACAGTGTAAGAACTGGTATCCGAGCTGTTACTGAACATGTTACTTGATAAATTCAAGAGAGTAAGAGATAAATTTAATAGAAAAATACGCGAGACATACGTTTTGGAAGAGGAAAACACGAATAATAAAATTGAACGAATATATACTACGCAAGAATGAAACCTGAAGGACACCCAAAATTGCAACGTAACCTTTGAGTGCCCTAATAAGCAACCTCTCGTGGATCCAGTAATTCTTTCACACGTCCTGTATTTGTGAGTGAATTGATGTGTGTGCACAGCAACTAGGAACAGAGTAATTGATCGAGATAGCTAGGCAAACTGCAAAGTGGTTCCGACCTGGAATCATTTCGTTTGTCTGAATTGTTACTTAGACTGTTTACCAATGGATGGAGAAGTTTGTATCTTCGTGAATGCTTATTGTCCTAATCCAGTGTCGGAAACTGGGATGTTTCCTTTTAATGGTGGGAGTTCAACGAGGTCACCTCAATTTTGAGGCTTGCGCGACTTCAATTAGTATTCAGTAAAAACTATCTATCAATATCGAGTGTTTACTGAGAGGTATGCTTAAGGGTTCAG